CTCTACAGTCCAATTTTGTGGACAGTCTAAAAAAAATTGGCCGGTAACTGCCCTAAGCTTAGTGATTATTAATCTGTCTTAATGAGGCCCATGAAAGGGTCAGCTATTTATTTTAAAGAGCATTTACCATTTTTCTTAATTAAGGTTTTAATGTAGCTGATATGAAGAAAACTTGGAAGCCATATGAAAACACCGAAGAAAAATAATCCACTTATCACCGAGGTTCTTCTATCATTGTCTCTCTGCTCTAATACTAATTTCCTTTCATAGTGAATGTTACATATAATGTCCTTTGATAGTTGCTTTGTTTGCTTTTTATTTTCCTTCAGTCCCTCCTTGATTCTCTTGTCATGGTGGCTTATTTGTTTTACCTAGCCTTAGGGTGAAATTCTGAAGATCACTCGCGTGTCGTGCTTCTTGTTCGAAGCTGGTGAGTGGGTTCAGACTCACAGTGACCGAGGCACAACAGAACACACCACTGCCCTGCCCAGCCCAGCAGGGCGTGGGGAGGTGGAGGCCATCAGCATCACAATTGCTATTATGTCGAAGCCCATTGTTGCAATCACTGTGTCAAGCCACAGCTAGGGCTGTCCTCTTTGTCACGGGCCTTCTTTACTAAGCAAGATGTTCTTCTCAGGGACTGAGCTCTCCCGATAAGTTATTCCAAAAACTTACTTTGAGGAGCATTCTGACTGTACTTAGAAGCATTCTTGCTTCTAAGAGGATTCTGACTGTACTTCTTCCAAGACGGATTTGTTTTTCTGACATCCCACAGTTCTCTCACTATTCTTCCCCAACACCATCATTCAGATGCATCACTTCTCTTTTGGTTGGCCCGATTCATTATCCAATTCGCACATGCATATGAGGCAGTTGAAAAGGCATGATTTGAGTCAGGCTCACACCAGTCTTCAAAGTGTCACCCTATTCTTCAACACTCTGGAGAAGTTCTGTTCGGCAGATTCACACAATGCAATTTGTTGTTTGATTTCCTGACTATTGCATCCATACAAGTGGATTATGGAGTCAAGAAAGAGGTAATTTATGACTACTTCAATCTCTTCTCTAGGTATCATGATCTCCATTGGTCCAGTTGTGAAGATTTTGGTTTTCTTTACATTAAGTTGCAATTCATTCTGAAGGTAGCAATCTTGATCTTCATCAACAAGTGCTTCTGTAAATTCATTATCTCACAGGTTCTGAGAAACTCAAAGCAATACATATGCACTCATAAAAATAATAAGATGGTATGAATTGTGTGGGACTCTTGCAGAATTGAGCTATTCATTAAGAGATTAAAACATTTAGTAAAAGCAGTCATCTAAAATATATTGATGGTATTCTAAAAACTAGCGTTGAGATTGGTATATTGATATCCTTAGGATCAGTGTGAAAATAATTAGTTATATTCCACAAAGCATAAGAAAAAATATAAAATGAGAGAAGTAAACAGATGAGTTAAACCTAGGCTGGTTCCAAAAATATGCAAGGAAGGATAATTTCACACACACACAATGCACACCCACACACATTCACACACAGTGTTAATATAGCTTTCCCTCAATCTTCATTTGCCTTTACATCTTAAATTAAATGTCAATTTCTAAGGGGAGAATTCCCATACTACCTACATCAGAATTTTCTTTGTAGTTTTTCATAACATAATGCAATTTTCCAATGCAAATCTCACTATAGTTGTAATTTTCATATAGTGTCATTTAATTCTGTGAAATAGGATCGTATATGATTTGAATATTGTGCAAAATCCATATTATATACAGGCATAACCCAGATTATAAATTAATTCTGTTCTTAAATCTGCCTTTAAGTGGAATTTGTGTGTAAATCTGAACAGTTAGGTATGGTTCCTAATGAATGTGAGTTAAGCAAATGTTTGCCGTAGTATAGAGTGTACATTTCTATATAAAAAAATTTATGAAGATATAGTAAAGCATTGTTAGCATAATAATCTTGTAATTATTAGAATAATAGTGCTTGGTATACGTGGCAAACTAGTGCCATTTGTTATTATAAACCATTATATTTAGCCTCAAAATTTTAATACAATTGGCTTTCTAGGTGTTGGGACCACTGACATATACATAGTTGAACTTTGCCCAGATATTATGCAACACATAACTGGACTTATCAATATTTTAGTATCCATTTCCACACAAGAGAAAATGCATAGAAAAGATTCAACACACTAGCAAAGTGTCCAGTGCAGAGCGTAAATTCAATAGACAATGATTGCAAGCAATATCTCTAGTATATAAAAAACCATGGCAGAGAAAACAAAGCATTATCAGAGTGGAACAGAAGGGAAAGCACTTTTCATGGAAATACCAAAAGGGCTTTATGTAGAAACTGGGGTGGACCTTCGAAGATGTGGATGAGTGCCACATGTGGAGCTTCCACGGGTATCTGAAAGAGATGACACAGGCAATACATATTGAAGGAATCAGTAATGGCCCAGATACTGTCTCTGGTAGACACAGTAGACACAGGGCCCTGAGCTTGAAGCAATTCTAAGGGCCTGCAAAACTTCATGCCTTGGGTTGCTAACTGCAAGGTCAGCAGTTCAAACCACGGGTGAAAAATGGGATTTTCTGCTCTTGTAGAAATTTAGTCTTGGAAACTCACAAAGACAGTTGGACTCTCCCCACATAGGGTTGTTATGAGTCAATATAGACGACATGGCAGAGTTTTGTTTGTTTGTATTGTTTTTTGATATACCTAGAGCTAGCTAGCTAGATAAGTATGGATATTTATTTTTAGTGGAGAAAGGAGCCCACTAAAGTAGACGTACTAAGGGCTCATAGCTATTTAAGGATTCCCTGGTAATATAGTGAGTTACATTTTGGAATGCTAACCACCAGGTCAGCAGTTTGAAATCAACAGCTGCTCTGCAGGGGGGAAGTGTGTGTGGTTTGGTGGGGTAGGGGTATGAGGCGTTCTGGTCCCATAAAGATTTATAGCCTCTACAGCTCACAGGGGCAGTTCTACTCTGTCCTTTATGGTTCTATGAGTCAGAATTTGCTTGATGGCTGTGGGTTTGGTTTGGGGGGTGAGGTTCCTTAAACAGTCACCAAGAGTCTGGAAAACAATAGCCTGGTCCATACTGGCAGGAGGGCCATCAAGTCGATGGCTTTTGCATTAGCTTAGAAGAGAGTTCCAGAAAAGATGGGAAGAGAGAAGAGTGGAATGTTATCAATATGAGAAATATATTTACGTGAGCATTTTTTTAACCATCTGAGAAAAACCATCTTTTCTGCACAGGAAACCTCCACAGGAGTCATTTTGTGTTTGAACCCCCCTGTGTTCAGTTCTGCTAGAGGAGGGAGGGAGTCAATCTTCCTGTATCCTCAGGGCATTGAACATGGGAAATGTCCAACAGGAGAATTAGTCCCTTGTGTAAACTGTGAAAACTACTATAACTATACCTAGATCTTTGACCTATGCCATCCTAATCACCAAAGCCAATGCCCGAAGTCTGACTGTGTGACAAATGGTGTTCTGATTGATTGGTGGCTTAATTGTATTTCAGAGCAAACCGGAAGTAATGACATGCACATTAATTACAATTCCTTTGAAAGCTAGTTTTAATTTTCTCCTTACTTTTCTTCTACTTTGAGAAATATTTATTATTATCTTTAACAACACATATTCCCAATCATAACCTCTATTCATATAGAGTATAACTGATATTCACAGAGAAAACTCAGTTGCATAGAAGCCCATGGTCATCCTGTACACTGAATATCCGTGTTGTTTTCTCTTTGCTGAGTGAATTTTGCTTGTAATTTGTACAGGTCTTTTGCTACGGATTCAAAATGGATATGAGATTTTAATGGAATATGTTGATTGCTAGAGTAGCACCGAAACAGGGAGATTAAAAAGAAGGTGAATTTCCTAAAGAGAGATGGTTTTTTAGCCAAGCTTCGAAAGAGTAAAGGCTCTCTGGGTAGATCAAAGCAGACAGAATGCACATCTTAAAAATTCTAGGAATTTGATTTGTATTTCAGGATACATTTAACCTTTTGGAGTGTCAGTTTCCATATGCATGAAGTACAAAGATCATGCATTCCTACCACTGTTCAACTATTTTCCATGTTCACAACGCGGAATGGGGAAAGGGCATAAAAAAGTAAAGGGGGGGGGCTATAAATCCCTTGCTGTTGCAGGAGGAGGAGATATTCACTGAGCAGCATTGAGGGCTAGACGGGCTGTCGTTCTGCGTTTTAGTAATGGTGTGTCTTAAGAGATGGGGAAATATACCCATCTTCAGAAGCTTTCAGACTCTGCGTCTTTGTTTTCTTACAAGCTGAGAAGGGTGAAAAATGATAACATTGTTGAATCACTGATAATATATTTAACACTCGATGAAAAATAAATTTTTAATAATATCCAGACTACCCCTCTACCACCCCAGCACACACACACACACACAATCATTATTCTCTACCACCCTATGAAGACCGAAAGGCCTCAACATGTGCGCATGTAATTGGTAAGTTTTAGAGCCTTCATACATTTCATGAACAATGTTACTGAAAGAAACTCACGGTCAAACTTTCAGCATCGCTCCTCAGTTGCCATTTTAAACACAAAGTAATTGTTCTGCTTGGCGTTGCCACCACTCTGAGGCTCTATTCAAAGCGTTGGGAACAAGATGGGAAAAGAGTCTTCGTGGGTCCACGTGACTCGGGAGGTGAAAGGTCTGTTTCTTTCAATCCGTTCAAACTGACAGGCCTCCTGCCGTCACCTCCTCCGTAGCCAGACAGACAGACAGGCCTTCAGTGTGAAAACATCTGTTGAATGGATTTATTGACGAGGTCTTGTTTTTTCTCTCCCTTCTCTATTTTTTTTCCTCCTTTTCCCTTCACACCGTTTATTATGTCCCTGACCTGATGAACTTAATTTGTTGACATGTCTCTCTCAATGTCTCCCTCAACCCTTGTCTCACGTTTCTTTCTACTGTGCTGTTTTCTTGGCCACAGCCCCTCCTGGAGCCCCCGCACGCACATGCGCTCTCCGTGCGCCAAGCTCCGCTGGCTGTGGTGGGCATGGATGGATTAGACAAACACCGCCTTGTCTCCAGGACCCACTCCTCCCCTGCCGCCTCCATTTTGCCTGGTTCTGCAACTGGTAGGAATCCCTGAGGACTTCTCCCTAATAGGCAGGCTAAATGCACTGTTCTCGTAGGATTAGCCGATTTAAATGCTCTGAATAACTCCAGTAACAGAACGCTCTGTTTTAACCCCGTGCAACCCACTTTTTATGAGGTTATATTGGCCAAAAGACAAATGACACATCTGATAAATCTTGAGTTTGGTATTAATAGCCTCATAAATTGTTATCATTCAAGGGCCTGGAAAATGCATCAACAGGTGTATGAACCCTTTTTGGAAAGAGCAACAAAAAGGCGAAATCCCTGGACTGGTTTGAGCAGTGTACTCCTTCTTTTTCCTTCTGGTGCGCTAGGACATTGTATGAAGCAGAGCTTCACATTGAGTGTTTCCACCTATGTGTTGCTGTGTTTGATGGTCTTTCTCTGAATCCCCTTACACAGCACTAAGGCAAACCAGGTTTGAGGATATTGTCATTGGTTTCATATCCTCTTTGTATGGTACACATGGGTGGGCTTCTGCCCACCTTCCTTTGCCTACAGCATTCCCAGTCTCTCATAACTTGCTCACAGAGGAAAACAACCCAATCATCCCAACACCAGAGGAAGGTCAAATCTGAATACTGAAAGAAAAAAAAAGGCGGGGTGGTCCCATGCCCTTAGCAAAGGAACGGGGCTGTAAATGTAGAACCCCAAATAAATGTATTGACTCATACAGACCCTTTATAAGGTTTCCAGCCAGACCAGGCAGGGGTTCAAAGCACTGACCTTCCAGTTAGCAACCCCACACATAACCCACTAAGCCGCCAGGGATCCTTGTAAATATATGTGTGGATAAATACTCCTTAGGATGGGCTACACCTCCTTATTGTCCCCTGCTCTCAATTTGTGGCTGGTCAAATGAAAATCCTGTATTCCTAAAGGGCTTCAAACTTTGGGTGCAACAAAGAGAGAATCCCAATGTACCTTTCCTCCCAAAGATTTCCCAGGTTATCTGATTTAATTTTTACATCTATTTTTAGGATTCAGAGCTTGTTTTTGTGACTTCTGTGACTTCGTGCTTGGAAAAGTTAAAACACCATTTCCCCTAAAATCACTTTTCTAAGTCTTGATTTTATTTTTCTTTTTTACAATCAGTGAATGAAATGACCAAGCTATTTAGCTTTAATGTGCATCTTTAATAAGTATGCATAGTATCTTCTTTTAATAATATGCTTTCACAAAGTAACATGTCATACAGGCTGTGTATACCCTATACCCATATTTCTGTCACCACATTGGCTATTTCTTCTGATCTATCAGCTCCTTATATCACAGGGAGCCTGTCCCCACAGCCCCAATGACTCAGGGCTGCCCGTCAGTGTCAGGGAAGCTGCTGGATCGGGCATGCTGGGTTTCACACCTGTGTTTTCAGAGAGGTGCACCAAATACGTGCTATGGTTCAGACATACATTTTGTTGATGATAAAAGCAGCATCTCTGAAAGTTACTTACATTTTAATTATTTTCCCTGAAAATGTCTTTAGTCCTAATCTTTCAGAGAACACCGAGTGACAGTCACTCTGTAATAACGCTGGTCCCTTTAACTCCAAAGAATTTCTTTAAATAATAATTTTTAAAAACCTCATTGCCATTCAGTTGTTTCCAACTCATCGTGACCCTATGGGGGCAGGGTGGAACACTGTGGGTTTCTACAGGAGTAGACGCTAACTCTCTCTCCTGTGCAGTGGCTGGCGGTTTCAAACCGCTGAACTTGTAGTTAGCAGCCCAAGCCATATAGAACAAGTGTTTAAAAGCTTCCTTTAAAAATGTTTGTTGATGCTCCTGTTCCCATGTTTGCTGCGATTAATTGTTGTAAAGGAGCCCTGATGTCACTGAGAATTAAGCCTTGGGTTGCTAAGTGAAAGTTTGCCTGTTCAAATCCACCAGCAGCCCCTTGGGAGAATGATGAGGCTGTCGACATGCTTCTGTCAAGATCTACAGTCTCAGAAATTCTACAGCAGTTCACTATGAGTCTGAATGGGCTCGATGGCCTTGGGTTTTGTATTATTGTCATCAGGAGCCCTGGCAGTGTGATAGCTCATCCTCCAGCTGTTAACTCAACGTCTGGCAGATTGAACCCACCAGGCACATTCTATGGAAGGACTACATAGCTCTCTGCTCCCAGAAAGATACTAGCTTCATTCTCAACCTTCCTTGTACTGCGGCCCTTTCGTACAGCTCCTCATATTGTGGTGACCCCCCAACCATAACATTATTTTCATTGCAACTTCATCACTGTAATTTTGCTAGTGTTATAAATCAGGCGACCCCTGTGAAAGGGTCGTTCAGCCCCCCCCAAAAGGGTTGTGACCCACAGGTTGAGAACTGCTGGCTTAGCAGACTTAATAGGCAGTTCTACAAAACCCTGTGGAGCATCTCCACTATGTCACATGGGGTCACTATGAGTCAAAAGTTACCGGAAGGTAGCTAACAACAACGCTGTTGTAATCCTACTGATAAGAGTCCCCCTCCCCTGTGGCCCTTCTGTAATATGCTTGACTTTCTTTACTTTTCATGCATTGTTTTGTTTAGATATTAATGAAACAAAATTGCTAAATAATGGAGAAACCCTAAAACTCAGAGAAAACTGCGTTACCAAAATGACTGGTTTTGCAGAATTGCATAGCTAATAATATAAACATAACTAATCACCCTAACTGCAAACTTGAATCATTTCTAAAAATTTTGCTTTATTTGTCATAATGTCATCATTATTGTATTTATGTATCAGAGTGTATATTTCAGATATAAACAGGTAAGTAAAATTGGATATATGTATATGATTTGGTGAGGACAAATATTTTAACATATATGGTTACATAAGTTTAATTTTTTAAGTACAGGGTTTTGTACCTAATAGACATTCAATAAATATTAATGGAATGAAGAAATGTTAATTATATATTAAACTCTTAGAAATTTCATTTAAATTTGTATTTACTGAAAGTACATGTCACTTTATAATTGTTTATTATAAGTAAAAATATTTATTTTTGATTTATAATTATTCATTTTATTTTATTATTTATTTCTATTATATTTATTTATTAGATCCTGGTGATTTCAGAGTTATATGCTTGAATAGAGGAAAACTTGTTTATTTCAATATAAATGTGTTACCTCCTAAAAACTAATTCAGATAAAATTTGTTAACAATTATTATTTTATAGCTTGCAAAATAGGTTCTTTGTAAATGTCTTTTAACCACAAGTCTACTGACTTTGGGATTAAAAATTATATAGTAGCAAATTTTCATTTAGTGCTATTCTGAATCCAAAGTGAATTTAATGCTCTGTCTTCACTCTGCTCTTCCACATGTGGACAAAACCCTCACTGCCATTGAGTCCATTGTAACTCATTGTGACCCCATAGAACAGGGTAGAATGTCCCTGTGGCTTCCTGAAACCGCAACGTTATGGGAGTAGAAAAGCCTCATCCCCCACCCCTCCTCATGAAGACACATGGTGGTTTTCAACTTCTGACCTCTAGGTTAGCAGCCCAGTGAATAACCACGCTGCCACCAAAGCTCTCACACATAGCTCTGGCTTCTTTCCGAACTCCAGCCCCATAGCGTTCCTTGCTGTTGTCCACATGATTTCAAACTTCACTTTAGTGTTTCCAATGATCTCAATGCATTTTCAGACTTTTGTTTTTATCATGTTTATATATATAAATATATATGAAGAGTGAAATTGAACTACTTCATTTTGATGCTTTAATATTATTGAAAATAAGATTTAGAAAAATCAAATAAGTATGTTTCTCTGGCACTATTTTGCGGTTTTCCTAAATGAAAGTCATAATTATCACATATTCTGTATTTTGTCTGCTGAAAATTAGGGGCCCCAAAAGATGATGTTCTAAAGACGGGCAATTTGTGCAATCCATTCTGCAAGAGTTATACTTTTTGGCTCATCTAAAAAGTGATTGAATTCTAAGCTCACATAATTTTGAAGGCATCTTATGCAAAGGTTCATGGTCCTGGAGAATCCTGAGCAGCTAACTAGAGCAGCAGCACACCCACCACCTCTTTTTTTTTGCAAATTATCAGAAGTGTTCCAAGAGGGCAAACCTTGTCTGATTTGAATCACTTGAAAGATGTCGTCATTCCTTTTCCTGTGAGGACTTAAAGGGACCCAGACACAGAGACTGAGATGTAGTCACCACCTGATGACCACACAATGGATTTTTTTTAAGCTATATATATTTTTTTTCCCCAAAACATCCTTATCACCTTCAATGTCCTTTCCATTACACTTAATACATTTGTCAAATATGTGATCCATACTTGGAAACATTTTTCAAATACTTCTCTTTGGATCGCTGACAGCACCTCCCTCGTTTTTTTTCTTTACCTCTTCTACATCATCAAATTTCTGTCCTTTCATGTTCTTCTGCATTCATGGAAACAAAAAGAAGTTGCACAAATGAGGTCAGGTGAGTAAGCTGTGTGGGGCAAGAGAGTAGTCATGCTGTTTTTTGCAGAATAACGGCTCACTGAGATGGCTGTGTGAGCAGGTGCATTGCCGTGGTGGCAAAACCAGTCCCCCATCTGCCACAAATCAGGTCTTTTTTGTTCAACTCTGCTCTGCAGTATTTACAGAACCTCTAAATAGAAAGCTTGATTAAGTGTCTGACTTGGCAGAACAAACTTCAAATGCATTAAAATTCAGTATTTTCGTCCATATGGGAAATTGATGGACACCCGAACAAGGTTTGCCATCAATTGACAGTTTACCTTTGTTGAAATGAGAAAACCACTTGTACACTTGAGTTTTTCCCACAGTGCTGTCCTTGTAAGCTGTAGTCAACACCACAACAGTTTCTGAGGCATTTTCCCTGAATAGGAAACATTTCACAGCCACACACTGTTCTTTTAAATCGGCCATCCCATCACACACAAAAAAATGAGGTTCGAGAGAAACTGCTTTTACTAAAAATTCACTGTGACCAGAGAGAACCTTCCCAGGTGATGCCAC